TACAGGCGCGCGCTACCACGCCCGGCTGATTTTTGATTTATTGTAGAGATGAGGTCTCGCCAAGTTACCCAGGCGGGTCTCGAACCCGCGGGATCAGGCAATCCACTCACTTCAGCCTCCCAAGGCACGGGATTCCAGGCTGAGCCACCGAGCCTGGCGAGATGCGCTTTTAACCAGCTTCCAGGCTAAGGTCTGGGAGGCAGCCGTGGCTGAGACACTGATGCCTGGAATCAGACACACGTGGTTGAGATCTCAGCTGCAGCTCTATGGTCTCAGGAATGTTAATGATTCTCTCTGAGCTTTGGCCTTTTTCTCTGTAAAATGGGGACACCAACAGCATCTACCTGGAAGGGCTGTGGTGAGACTCAGAGGAGAATGTCCCCCCAGAGTGCCCTCGCAGGGAGCCTGGTGCCTTGAGTTCTCTGCCTTTGCAATTTTGGTTCTGATTTAAGCCCTCTACAATTTACACCTTCTTTTCCCCAACAAAAAGCACTGCGGAGTCAGGTGTGGGCGGCTGTGCTGGGGGGAACCAGCCTCAGAGGAAGCCCAGACCTTCCGGTGACTCTGGGGACTTCCCTCTGATGGACGTTCTGCCCAGCTAAGGCAAACGGCTGGTCCTGCCTGGGTGCCTCCTGCAGTGATCACAGTGATGAGGTCAAACTCCTGCTGGGAAGGGCAGCTTTGCTCCAGACTCTGTATCACCTGTTCACTCACAGATGTCGCAGGTCCTGGAGTGCCAGCCAGGGAGCAGGACCGAGGACAGGGCTGGCAGGACTGGCAGGGCTGGGATCACGGTGCCCGGAGCCAGGGCCCATGGGTCCCATGGCCTATCCCATGCCGTGGAGCCTGGCCTGGGTCGGGCTTTGAGCTCAGCATGACAAACAGGCCGTCAGCATGCTGCCAGGCCCTGGTCTGTCCCTGCAGCATCTGTGGGGCAGAGTTGGAGGGGAGCGGGGAGCCCACCACCTCCGCCCTCTGCTGTGTCTGCAGGAGGCCCCTGTCTTGCCCAATGGCTCCTACGATGGCAGCTCCCTGGTCAAGTCTTCAGGGAAGCTCATGCTGCTGCAGAAGATGCTTAAGAAACTGAGGGACGAGGGGCATCGTGTGCTGATCTTCTCCCAGGTGAGCCCCAGGTGGCTCGTGGGCTGGTGTCCCTGCCCAGCCCAGCCCAGCTCCACACCCCAGATGGCAGCCTGCCCTGATGTTTGAGGACACAGCCTTGCTGGCGCCCCCGGGGTCCTGATGCTTGGGACCCCAGGAGGCCACGTGACTGTGCATCAAAGGCCATCCCCCGGGCCCTGGTGTGATGCAGCCAAGGAGCTCAGGGCATGTTGGCTGTAAAGACCAGCGTCTCCCCCACCTGCTCCCCCCTCCCCCTACTGTGGTGGGGGCCCCTGTCCCACGGCAGTCCCTCACACATCCATCTTCCTGCAGATGACCAAGATGCTGGACCTTCTGGAAGACTTCCTAGAGTATGAAGGCTACAAGTATGAGAGGATCGATGGTGGCATCACGGGAGGCCTCCGGCAAGAGGCCATTGACAGATTCAATGGTACTAGCACGCCACCCAAGCGTTCTGATGGGGACCCCGTTTTGGCCTCTTTTCCTGGCCCAGGTTCTTTTTTTTTTGTCGGGGTCTCACTCTGTCGCAGCCTCGACCTGCTGGGCTCAGGCGGTCCTTCCGCTTCAGCCTCCCAAGTAGCTGGAACTACAGGTGTGCGCCACCACACCCAGTTAATTTTTTGATTTATCGTAGAGACAAAGTCTCACCATGTTGCCCAGGCTGGTCTTGAACCCGTGGGCTCAGGCAATCCTCTCGCCTCAGCCTCCCAAGGTGCTGGGATTACAGGCGTGAGCCACTGCGCCCGGCTTGGGCCAGGTTCTTAGCCAGACCACCCAGCTACTGTTTCCATGAGCTACCCCCAATAGCAGAAGAAAGCAGGCCGGTCCTTAGGGCATGACAGCTTCCCCTGAGTCTCAGATGCTGGAGGGATTCTTTCCGTGGAACCTTCTGGGGTCTGCTGGAGTTCTGAGGGCTCCAAGAGGTAACCCCTGTTCTGAATAGAGTTAGAAAGGCAGGGAGAAAGGCAGACAGAGAAAAATGTCACCTTTGCCTCCAAATGAAGCAGAGGCTAAGGGTCTGGCCGGCACCCGTGGGTCTGATGCTGACGCCAGATAAACCCGTTACAAGTGGTGCTGGACAGAGCCTGCCACCAAAGCACACGGAAGGTACGGAGCTGCGCAAAGCGGCAGGGCCACACAAGGCCAGGCTCTTCTTCCAAACATGCCCATTGCTCAGTCTTCCCTGCCTGGGAAGGAGAGCAGGGAAGGAAAGGCAGGAGGGTCTCGCCAGCGGAGCTCGCTCCCTCCATAGTGGGGCGCACTCAGCTGAACCCGGGGCCTCTTCAGGAGCGCGTTTGCAGCCAATAGCGGAAAGCTTTGCTTCCCTAGGGTTTCTGCCTTAGAAGGGGGCCGGGCCACACCGCCTAGACATCCCAAGCAGCGATTTCTCCTGCCCTCTCCCGCCAGAGATAAGGGAGGAGCATCAGGGCCTAGACGGGCCCTCAGAACTCCAGCAGAAGCCTGGAAGTTTCCATGGCGGGAATCCTTTTGGCAGCTGAGATGCACGTGTGGAGGCTGGGGTGGCTGAAGTATTGGGCGGACTGGGGGCCCGTCTGCACCTCCATTGGGTCCCAGGTCACTTCACAGAGGGCACGAGAGGCCTGAGAGCCAGCCGTCCTGTGACGGGATCGCTGAGTGGAGGGGGACCCCAGGTCCTGGAGCTGTGTCCCGAGTTTTCCCCGGCTGCCCTGCCGGTCTCTGCAGGCTGGGTGCTCACCCTCCTCTGCCGGCCTCTCTCTCTCAGCTCCCGGGGCCCAGCAGTTCTGCTTCCTCCTCTCCACCCGGGCGGGCGGTTTGGGCATCAACCTGGCCACGGCGGACACGGTCATCATCTACGACTCGGACTGGAACCCCCACAATGACATCCAGGTCTGTCGCCCCATCCCCAGAACCCTCAGTGGCCCCTAATCCTGGGCTGCGGGCAGGACCCCCATCCTCCAGACTCTCCAGGCTGTGACCCCTTCATCTTCCCTGGTGCTGGGGGTTTCCTTTCCCTGGGGGGTTTCAGTCCCAAGAGGGGCTCTGGGAGGCGAGTGGAGGTTTGGCTCCTGTCTCTCCAGTTCCTCACTGTACAGAGGAGGAAGCCGGCCCAAAGAGGGCAGGGGTGTAACATTCAAGGGCACACAGCAATCTGTGGTGGCCAAAACCCTGGTCCATCCCATCACAGGACCAAAGCATGGAGGACAGAAGGATAAGGGAATCTTGGGCCCCAGAGGGGCTCCGGTTGCTGAGGGGATGAGAAGCCAAGAAAGGGGCCTTGACGGAGATGGGGGAGAGGATAAGACCAGGGAAGGGGTAGGTGGGGTTGATAATGAAGGGTGGGAGGGCTGTGGAAATGGAGCCACCCTGAGGCCCCCCCAGCCACTGGGGACACACGCACATTTAACATTTATACTCATAGGGGCACACACGCAAACTCCTGTCATGCACACGTGTGTGCACCCATGCACAGTCACTTGCACAGACACACACAGTCACACCAGGGTCACATGCAGGGGAGCACAGAGTCTTATGCACGACCTTGTATTGGGCCAGGCAGTTTCAGGGCCTTGCTGCCCTTAGAAGGTGGCCATATTTCCAGCACGTGGCCTTGCTAGTCCCATTAGCGACTCACAGGGAGGTGCAGTCCTGCTGCCCCCACACTCCACCCCGGAGCCCTGTGTGGCCTCAGTTACACCCAGCACACCGGCTGAGTCATCCCTCCCTTGCCCCTGCATTCCTGTAGTCCACCTAGTTCCAGCTGTGCAGGCACTTATGCACGCCAATCCCAGCCTGGCACCCAGGTCCACGTGAGACCACCCAGCCAGGGAAGGACAGCAGTGGCAGTGGCACACCATAGCCTGCCTCCCCCCGTGCGGCTGTGCCGCCCGTTCCATGCTTGGGGCCTGTGTGGCCCCACCACCCATACCAGCCCTGCGCCCCGGCCTCTGGGTTGCGCCACGGGTGCTGAGCTACAGGTCTCCCCAGGCCTTCAGCCGCGCACACCGCATCGGGCAGAACAAGAAGGTGATGATCTACCGCTTTGTGACGCGGGCCTCGGTGGAAGAGCGCATCACGCAGGTGGCCAAGCGCAAGATGATGCTCACGCACCTGGTGGTGCGGCCCGGCCTTGGCTCCAAGTCGGGTTCCATGACCAAGCAGGAGCTGGATGACATCCTCAAGTTCGGCACTGAGGAGCTCTTCAAGGACGACGTGGAGGGTGGGCCTCCTCTCCGGGAGTGTGGTGGCGACTGTGGGTGGCCCCGCTTGAGACCTACCCACTCAGGGCCCGCCAGGGTCCCTGCCGGCCCCCCTGCCCACAGCCTGTGTCTCCTCTGCTTCCTGGGCCTGTGTCTCCCGGCCTGGGCTGCCAGGGTGGTGTCTCTGGGCGCGGCCGGCTCTCCAGCCCTCTGTGCTTTTCCTCTGCCTGACAGGCATGATGTCTCAGGGCCAGAGGCCTGTCACGCCCATCCCTGATGTCCAGTCCTCCAAAGGGGGAGCCCTGGCTGCCAGCGCGAAGAAGAAGCATGGTAGCACCCCACCAGGTAGGGGCCACCCTGAGCCCCGTCCCCAGCCCCTCCTGGCAGGTGTCTGCTGCTGGAGAGGAAGGAGTTCCCCTGCCCCCCACGCCCTTCCCTTGAGTGTCCTGGGTCTGTCGAGCAGGCAGGGAGTGGGGCGGTTACAGCGCAGTCTCCTCTGGTCACCGTGTTCCTGGGAGTCCTCCGTGGGAGTCTGTCCCCGTGGAGGCCCCCAACCGGACCTGGGCACTCTCGTCTGTGTCCCCACGCTGCACCCTGTCTGCCCCTCAGGTGACAACAAGGACGTGGAGGACAGCAGTGTGATCCACTATGATGATGCGGCCATCTCCAAGCTGCTGGACCGGAACCAGGACGCCACGGACGACACGGAGCTACAGAACATGAACGAGTACCTGAGCTCCTTCAAGGTGGCGCAGTATGTGGTGCGCGAGGAGGATGGCGTGGTAAGCTCCCGGGCCCGCCCTGGCCGCGGCCCCACC